AGAAAATAGCCTGATAAGTAGAATTGCAATTGTGTAGTTCGTATAATTCACTTCAAGAGTGTGCAATAAGACAAACCATCAAAGGAAGCTTACATAATTGTTTATATAAGTGTGTGTAACTTTTATGGACAATCAGATCTCTTTAATTACATATACACTACACATGCACATATTCGCATAGTTCAACAAATGTGTTTTTTATGAAATGGTAACTTGAGTTATTTGGTAATTCACAAATAAAGACAACAGTGAGAAAGACAAATATGAAAATAAAAAAAAACACACAGCATGAAGCTTTCAATAAAGGGCGATTCTTTATGTATAAAGCCATAAGAATAAGCAACAACAAGAACTTTATTCCGACTAGTTCAAGCCACCTTTTGAGATGACATACATTGGAGAGTTTCAAGTTCATAATATAAGAGCTTCAGTGACCGAGAAAGCTCAAAATTTTCCCGATTGTGAATGTATTAGCTTGTTTCGTGTACGTCAACAGCCTAGCTACCGCCTCTCAACCTTTTGCAATTTGCAATAAATGCAGTCAAGGTCACAAAGAAGTTACAGGGAAAGTATTGTGTAATATGTCTAGTGCATCCTTCGATTATACCCTAACCAAACAACTAGGGTTTGAGTTATTGGTTTAAGAATCCCAAGGCTGCTCAAACCGGTCACCGTAGTTGCCGTTTTCAGGATATTGGCGTACTGGGGCATTTATAAAGTTGACAAGTAATCTGTGCCCGCGGCGGGACACATCGAGTAAAAAATTCACTTCTTGTTTTTTTGTGAACTCGACAGTGAAACTGAAGTCTGTTTGAGGCTGCAGCGGATGTTCAACGACGGTACAGTGCCGTTCTGTCACCTTTCTGATAGAAACGAGTACGGTCGTTGCAAGGACCTCGCGGCGATCTCTTGACGACTTCTATTCGACGATTTCTAGGCATTTTCGCAGCTGCCGTGGCGAGTTCGTCACTGTTTTGAACTTCATCGGTCTCAGGCATGACTTGATTTTAGTATTCATCTTAACTGCCAACTTATTCTCGACGATGTTTTGTCTTCAGCGACATAGCGAGTGGAGCGTCCTTCTCACGTTCAGTGAGATTTGGGGCCCCCGATCAAAATGTAAGCACGAAAACTACTGTTACTGTCAAGATATTCTGTTATCAACCGATATTAAACACACAATCACAGATGTAAAGAGCGTACATGTTTATTTAAAGCTCTGACTCCTGTTTTTAAAAGTTAAGCGAGAAAATTATTATATTTGAGACCTTAAATTCGTTACTCACCGAAGAAATACAGCGAAAAGCAGACGCCTACGACGCCTACAGCAGCAGTTTTTTTGCTTACATCACGTGATTCCTCTCCGCCAATCATATTCGTCCCTCTTAGCGTTCCCTAGTTTGCTCTGTTTGTCCCTACATTCCCTACGCAAATCCAGCGTTTAGCTAGGGGCGCGTCTGTAAAGCCGGCTTAACGTTGGTGCAACCGGAATTTAAACCCGTGCTTACCTAAGCTCGGTTTAGGGCGCTAAGCCGGCTTAGGAAAGCGCCGCTTTGGGTTAAGGTAAGCGGCGTTGGTGCAACCGGCCCTTAGATATGTTGTGCATGATAATTTCACAAGACGTAAAATTGTTCCCGTTTAGAATACGCGATACTCCAATTATCGTTTCACAAACATGGGACTACGTTTTCTCCTCGCCTTCCCCTGCGGGGGGTGAATTTCCCCTTCACTCGGGATACGCGGAAGCGCACGTATCATGAACTCTTTCTCTCCGGATTTTCGGGAAGTGCGTTCATGTCTCCAGGCCCGTTCATCCGTGTAAATGCGCTATCCTTTACTGTGAATTTTCGTCGTGTGTCGCTATGCACGTAACATAAGAACCCAGCACGTACTAGAATGGAGGATCCACCTACTCGTGCGGCGATGTCGTGGCGGCACTCTCAAGACAGCAGAAACGCCCGTGCCGTCGTGTTTGTTTACTTCGACTACAGTGGTGCTTTCTAAGCATTTGTGTCCTCGAACATAGCCCGGATTTCTTATTTGGCGCATTTTATGCGTGCGCTCAAGTTGAAGGTATTACTGGCGCGTACCGTATAAAGGATGCGAATTTTCACGCGTTTTCATCACCGGAAAAAAGTGATTAGTGTTAGCAATCCTGAACGCTCGCGACGTCTATCTGATCACCAAATCATATTTCTACTTTGCTATACTGCTGCTAAGATTACATCGTCTTTTATAATCGTAGAAAAGGTGTGTGGCGAGATTTGTACCGTTTCACCCTCCGTCCGAGCACAGCGGACGCCAGGAACCATCCCAGCCAATGCGGCGTTGAGGGAGTGTCATGCGACCTTGAGCTCCCTGCGTCGCCCCGCCTTACCGGCAGGTCACGCGACTTTCTCCCGGCGCTGGATCGGCTGGGACGGCTCGTGGCGTCCACTGCGCTCGGACTGAAGGTGGAACGGAGTATACTGGCAAAGTCGTGTATTACCGCTCAATCACACTGTAAGCGGATCCGCGTTCGCAAAGCGGTTGCGAACGCGGTTGTATAAAGATCCAGTACAATTGCACGCGGACTCGATGACATCGAGTGCGCTTGCAATTGTACTGCTTCTTTATACAATCGCGTTCATAACCGCTCTGCGAACGCGGATCGGCTTCCAGTGTGAAGTAGCGGTTAGAGTCGTGATCGTCCAAGACGGCGTACTGCATCTTTTTCTTTCCTTTTTTTTCATCCACTGTACCCTGCAAGCCTATCATGAAAAAAAAAATAATAAAGCTTTAGGCTATAGAAAACTGTCTATATTATGTTTCGGCATTGAGTGGCAGTGCGTCCCCTTTTTAGAGGCGCCGCTGAAACAGCTGACGGTGGCGTAAAAGCGGTCGCCTTGTTGACGACCCTCCACGCGCCTGTTGCAGTGGTTGCAGGTGTGTGTACGCGCGGCGCAGAGCGGTCGGTCGCTCCGGTTGCAACGGACGCAGTCGTAGGTAAGCTCGTTGCACATGTCTGAACCAGCCTTTCCCGGTCTCCCGAGGCGAAAGTCAACGTGGCGACATCGTTTGACATCACGTACCAGAGGTTACGCTGGTATGCCAAACGTTGGTTTGGTTACGACTTGCCCCAACCGCAAATCGAAGAACGCACGTAAAGGTGTGGGTTTCGTCGTCCTCGGAACCCGAACACGACTCCGAACCGCTGCTATCGTCCACATCGCACGTCGGAGTGGCGTCATAGGAAATCATCCCCAGGTCGGCTGTCCGCCGAAGAATTTCAACCTCTAACGGCGTCAGGTCCTCGAGCGTAGAGAACTCCGCCATGATCGAAGCTCGAATGACAAAAACGTTCGGCCGGTGCGGCTACCTCGGGATCACTGCGCGACGGAACATCGTCCAACGCCATTGGCCCGAGATAGTTTTGATATGCGAGCGGTGACCAATGAGAGTGGTTTCGTTTTCGGATGGATCCGAGGTTCGGCGGCCTTTAATCACATTTTTATTTAAAAAATAATCCCCTTAGGACTATACTTTTTTGTTTTTTAGAATAACTTAGGGCGTCTAGATTCAGTTTTGATCATCAAAACACGAACCCAAAAACCACTTGAGTGCCCCTTTAAAAGCTGCTTACTTTTTTGGGGTCCAACTTCTAGGGTTGGCCCACTTTATTTGTGAATTCCAGCCAGGCTATCTCCGTCGCAGTTACCCTTTTCAGCTTTTTGCAAGCACTTCAAAAATGGTATTAGATTTACTTTTTTTTATCTTTGCAGTTTTTTTTGTTTTTTTTACAAGTAAAACATAATGGTGACTGACGTAGACTTGAGATTCTGTGCTTGAGGGGAGATTGAAACTCATGAGTAAGGCCATAGTATGGCTTACTTCTCCGCCCTTCGCTGCCCGTGGCATCAGCGGCGTCTATCTGGAGAACACCGGAGTAAATTGCAATCCGGTCCGTGCTCCGTGCGTTTTTGAACGGCATCAAGAAAGGTACACAGGCAAACGTGCGTTTACATTTCCTTGTTTTAACCGAAAGTTCTAATTTATTGTTGTTATAAATGTCCTGGTGTTTCATTTTTTTTCTTTTCCTTATATTTATATATTGAAAACGTTTTCTTATTTGCTAACGTCTGAATCGAAGCTCGACTTGTTCAGAAGCAAAGGGAGAAAAATATCGAGCCCAACCTTACTTATTATGTATTTATCACCGTATTGTTACAACTATGTTTTGCTTTTGTCTGGCAATATTAGCCGGTATAGTAAGATGTACACAAATCAATTCTTATTTCAGTTTTGGCTAGTCGTATGACGACTTAGACAATAGGAGAGTTTTAGTAGATCATTCCCATTGCTCCGATAACAATATCCAATACTCCACAGCCGCCTTTGCGCTTGCATTATATCGTTTTCAGGTACCGTTATCGCGGGTATTGGAGGTATCGGAATGATCGACTAAAACTTTAAAATATCAGGCAACGGCTTCAACGATGAAGCTTTGCTCTATCTTCGAGGTAAACAGTACTTCCATTGCTTCGCTGAAGAAGCTCAATGCAGAGCATAAAACATTAGTGAGGCACAATATGGCACTCCCATCGAGGGCCTCAGTCCAAAGGGTGTTCAGCGTAGCAGTCTACATCTTTAGTAAGAAATAACGCAAAATGTCTGACGAGACTTTTGGGAGCCAGCTGTTGCTGAAAATACTCAAGGGCAATGAATGGAACAGGTGGCAACAATAAGAACTTGAATAACCCTCTTCCCTTTGTTTCTTACTTGAGGAGAATAATGTTGAAAGTAACGCCACGAAAGTAAAAGATTTCTTTTGGGGGTAACGGTCGCTTTCTTTTATTGGAGGGTAATTGTAATTGTAATTAATTACAATTTAGCTTTGAGTGATTGTAAATGTAATTTTTTACTATTTTTCAGTAACGTGTACAAGTCTGGTTTCATCTCAGCTGTCCGTGACTGTGGCGGGTTTTTAAGAGAGAGAGAGAGAAAAGAAAACGAATGCGTACTTGAAAGCAAGTGCAGGAGTCCTCCCTGGAAGACCCTGATGTTCGCTAGCGTGAGCTTCTTGACGCTGTCCCGGACATCCCTTCCAGTCTTGTCTCGCTCGTCCATCCTGAAGCTTAATCCCGTCCGAAGCATCGTATTCGCCGCAAAGGTCCTGCACACGGCTATGGTGTTGATGGGCACGTCTTGAGTGCACGCCGTATCGAGGACTTCCAAGAATTCGTCCGTGCAGTGCTCCAAGAGGTGCGACATCTGTAAGGAAAGCATAATACCCTGTCGACTGATTTCTTGAGATTTGTTACGACTAGTGAACGCATTGGCAATCTCGCGCCATATATGAGGTGGCCACGACACTGCACTTCACTGGGGCGAAGGTTTTGCAGTGTTTACGGGATCAAATGTACGTACTATTTATGAGAAACGGTAGTTTATAAGAATGTCGAAAGTTTTTCGAGTCAAATAAAAAAGAATGGTGCGCGAGAGAAAAGGAAATATACGGAAATGCCAAATGTTACACGGCTACCCCATAGATGGCGTCAGCGTGTTATTTCGTCGTAAGATGTTTTAAGAGGTTTTATGGTCATAAGCTGACGCAAGTGCGTGAACCAGCCTTAGTTGGTGTTCACACAGAAGCCCAATCCGTTTAGTGAGTTCACGGCCAGAACTTTACTCAGGAGACAAATAGACATATTGCTAAATTGCCCAAACAACAAGGAGAACGCAGAGAATGTAGGTCTATGAGCCGAAAGTACTGACGTCTGCAGCAGTAACTGTTCCAAAGGAAAAGGAAACAAATGATGCCTTGCGCGCGCGTTCACCAACGCCTTATTTTGGTTATTGACTTCGAACTTTTTTATACGGGGAAGGCGAGCGTGTGTGGCCCGGAGACTTACATTCCTAGCATTCTCCTTGATGCTACGGTAATTTAGCACTAGGGGTATTCACTGAACGCCATATTTGAGGGCGCTGTTTAGAGCGCATACTCAGAACGAGCTCACATTAGTAGGACACTAAGACCGGCAAGCTTGATGGTGCGGAATTCAAGTTGCAAAAGAACTGTGGAAGCTCGCCGTCAGCACGTTCTCAGCAGTTGAGCACAGGGTTATGGCCGCCAGTAAATACTTCCTATAGGTCTATTACCTTTCTTAGGTAGATGGAATTGTATGTTTTGGTGCACACTCCACGGATGGTCCGCCATCTCTGAACCGAAGCGTTGAAGATGTGGAACTTTCGGAAAGGGTGATGAAGAGAAAGCATGGACATGATCTGAAAAAAATAAAGGTTACTTTAAAAGATGTTCTGAGACCTTCGGCTTTCTTACCAGCTAATGTCGTAGTCTTACAGACTACAGATACAAAAATGCTGTGCATAAGTCTAACCACTCCAAGGTAGCACGCCAGAGAAATGCCCAACTTGGGCAAAGGTCTGGCAAACGTAAGGGCCCAACTTTGGCTCAGTTAGGTTTTCCACCATGGCGTTCATCAGTGCCAAAGTACGTTGCCTAACTATAGCACAAGTTGGGCGATACTAGGGCGTGCCAAAGTTTGGCTCTTCTCTGGTGCGCCAAAGGAGTGCCGAAGTAGTGCCATACTTGAGCCATAACTGCCAAAGCGACGCCGAATTTAGATATTTTAGACTTGCCAAGTTTGGGCTTCAACTGGTCAGCTACAGTTCTGCCAAAGTAAGTGCCAGACTTGAGCCATAACTACCAAGGCAACTTCTAATTTTAGTATTTCGGACATGCCAAGTTTAGCCTTTCTCTGGTCCGCCACAGTTGTTCCAAGGTCAGTGCCAGACTTGAACCATAACTGCCAAAGCAACGCCTAATTTTGGTATTTCGGACATGCCAAGTTTAGCCTTTCTCTGGTCCGCCACAGTTGTGCCAAAGTAAGTGCCAGACTTGAGCCGATCTGTTCAAGAGGAGGCAGATAAGGCAGTGGGACGGGGGAATCCCAGCCCTTCTGTTTCGTTCCCCCTTTCCCTCCTTTTGAACTGGTTGGCATACACTCTCTCCCCTGTAGCTGTAGCTGTACTGCGTGGTTAGCTGAGGCTTGGAATGTCACCTTTGTTTACGGGGGAATTGAAAGAATATGAGAGAAAAGTGTGCCTAGGTTATTGCTCTCAAAAGTTTCAAAACAACCTTTAAGAAATCGTCGCTTCCAAGTGTGATGCGGGAGCGGCGCCACGGAGCCCCGGTTGTTTCCGCTTTTTGGTATCGCTAACATTTGACAGTACTCAATCACAATGCAAGACACGTACAGAGCCAAGCTCGCTTTTGCAATGTGCCGCCTACTAATTATAGCTGGTGAGGAGACGTGCGCACATCAGCCTCGCGCAGCGCTAGCTCGATGGCAGCACTTTTAACGTCCAACCAGTCTCACGGCGCGTCCCGGTATTGGCGTGTGTACCTACGCGCGAGTACAGTACCCGGCATGATTTGCGTTTACAAAGCCTGGTCCAGCCGTGGAAAAACATTCAGCCCACCTTTGGACTGAAAAAATCAAGACAAAACCCAAAATAAAAAAATGGCCAGTCGTATAAATTTTTACTTTTATTTAATTAAGATGAAGACCACCCGCGTACATCAAACACCTCATCAGCCGAACTCCAAGGCAATAAGCCTAGTTCTGGCACTTGTTTGGTGACTTTGCCCCGTAGCTGCCAGATGACAGCCAAACTATCGGGAAGCGAAGCCTAACTTTGGTACTTGTTTGGCGACTTGGGCCGAAAGATGCCAGATGTAAGCTAAACTACAAGGCAGTAAGCCTACCTCTGGCACATATGTTGCGATTTCGGCTTGAAGGTTCCAGATGACAGCCGAACTATGAAAAAGTGAAGCCTAACTTTGACATTTGTTTGGCGATTTTGGCCCAATAATGCCAAATATCAGCCAAACTACCGGCAGTAAGCCTAACTCTGGCATTTGTTAGGCGATTTAGGACCAAAGATGCCAGATGACAGCCGAACTACCAGGCAGTGAAGCCTAAGTTTGGCACTTGTTTGGCGAATTAGGGCCAAAATACCCAAACCGTTACCAAGCGAGGTCAGGTTTGGCTCAACTTTGGCCTCTGTGGGCTTTTAAATGCCCTAAGCTCCTTGACAAAAGCCAAATTTCGGCCCAGAACCCTGTGCTGCCTGGGCGCCCTCCTTTTTTGAAGAGCTGTCAATCAATAGTGGCTAACAATATGAGTGATGAAAATAGTGAAGCGTCCACAACGGGAAACCTCCTTACCCCACGGGCACTGCAGTCTTTAAACTTGGCGATTTGAATTTGTTTAATAGCGTCGAGGTCCTTGATCAGCACCATGGGTACTCTTCCATTGTAAAATCTAAAAAAAACGCCAGAAGCAAAAAAAGTAAAAAATAAATAAAGATTGATTTTAAAAGTTTTTTTAAGACTTGGTTCATAATGGGGTTCCCGGTTTTCGGCATATACCGAATAAAGTCGGAAAGCAAACCCCCAGCCGGGCTGTGTTCCCAGTCACCAAAATGTTAAACTGCATAGATAAAGATGTTCTGCCCGTCAGCTTGGGTTTTTTCTTGTTCAGGAAGAACGTACATTCGTAATTTTTTAAACATGAAATGCTTTTTGACGGAACCCCCAATCTCAAGATTTGGCCCATCCGTCCGTCCGTTTGAGCATTCCCCGCTAATTATAGCGGGGAAATTGACGCCAGATGACCTAAATACCAAATCAGTTTCCCAGTTAAATATAGCGGGGAAATGAACGTAACGTGATCGAAAAACTCGCTCAGTTCACCTGCTAAGTGTGGCAGGGAAATGTATGTCACGTTACCTGGCATAACGTGACCTATGCATAAATTAAAATTTCCTAGTAAATTTAGTGAAAATATTGTTAAAAAAATGTCTGAATATTGGATTCTAAGCAGTCTTAAACGATTGCTCTTTGCATAATACATTTGATTAATTATGGGACTTCGGAGATAAAGGTCTCTGATAATATTTTGTTTTTTTTCGAAATTGATAAAACCACCTTGATGGTTTATTTTCGAAATCCAATGGTACTTACCGATACCACAGAGTTCTACTTAGAAACTATAATATCGTTCAGATTTTGTGAAGTTCGTAAACAGAGTTGCCTGGAATGTATATCCATTGTACACACGTACCTGGCTCTAATACCACTGATCGAAAGACGAAAATCGCTATTAGGTGGACGCAATATTTTTTAATGCAATAACCGCACGTTTAACTGCGCGATCTGTGGGCTTGCAACTGGGAAGAGGCCTGCTGTAATTTTATAAATAATAGTGAGAGCGTTCACATACCCTACGACAGATCCGTACTTCTGGGTCCATTGTCTGAATGTTACCACAATTCCCTAAAGGTAAAATAAAAATAAAAATCAAGCTTCAATATTTCCTTATAGCAAACAATGTGATATAGAGTGCATTCCCTTCGTCCCTTCTTTCGTTGATTTTTTTTTCTTTGGTTGTACCTTCTATACTCAAGATGCGTAAGTTGGAGCCTCATGGCGTGAAGTACGATAAGCAAAACACGAAGCAATATCTTGTTACAAACTTAATAAACGTTAAAGAAATATTCAGTTCACAGGTGTGACTTAAGAATGAATAATTAGTTTGCATTAAAAATCTCACTGGCAGTTGTTCTGGAGCGTCATCTCAGCTTCAGTAGGTCCATATTTAATACATAAAATGCATTTGCGTTTCAAAGAAGTTCAGTTGTCATAATGCAGGTACCAAATGTACAGCGCGGGAGAAAAGACAGTTTTACACGAAGGGGAAAAAACAGACGAGTGATGACTTTCAGTGAGCGTTTATTGGAGGAAAGAACCCGAAAATGGAAATGCAACAGTCAAACATTTTTGATCTACACAAGAAGGCGATGGTATTTAGGGACACATTTTGATTAGAGCGAAGTGTCGTTACTTTTTTTAGTAGGCGCTGTAAACAATGCCTGTTTTAGGGTCGGCTTCCAAGTCTACAGTGCCACGAAATGTTAGACAGTTTTCGCAAAAGCCAACCGTTGATAAAGTGATAGCCCTGGCAAAATCTAGTCTTTGGAAAAGCCAGTCTTTGCAAAATTCACAACCACTGCACAAGCCCCAGCTTTTGAAAAAGACGCCTGAAAGAACTGCAGCTTTTGCAAAAACCACAGTCTTTAAAAAGAAAGTCTTTACAAAATCTACAGTTTTTGCAAAATGCATAGTCTTTGTAAAATACAGAGTCTTCGCAAAAACCACAGCCTTTGCCAAACCCACCGTCTTTGTCATACCCGCGGCAATTGCAAAAGCTGCCGTCTCTGCAAAATCCATGTAAAGAAGCCACAGTTTTGCACAAAAAACAAAAACGAAGAAGAAACATTGATCTTCTCCAAACACCACGGTCTTTACAAACGCTATATACAAAATCCAGTCTTTGAACGAGCCTCAGTTTTTACAAAAGTCACAATCTTTGCAACAGAGTCAGGAAATCAAACCACCCAGCCCCTCTGAGTAGTCCTACATGCTGCATTTGCTGCGCCAGCTGGTCTGCGCCAGCGGAGTTACGATGACTTTTGCAGTTATAGTTGCCCTGTGATCCTGCTTTTGCAAATTCTTTGGTGTCCCAGTTGTGGGGACCCTCTCCCTGGCTCCTCCGCTCTCCGTGACCTTGCCGGTCCCCGCCGCAGTTCTGTCGGGCGCTCCTTCGTTCCCCGTGACCTTCCCGTTTCCCGTCGCCGTCCTGTCGCGGAACGTCCGAGCTCTCCGGGAGGAACGGGGCAAGCGCCCCCTCACCCAGCGCTGACGTCGGAGGATCGGCTCGCAGCAAGGTTCCCGATTGGACGGTCGGCGGGACAAGGACTTGGGAAGGTCTTTAAGAGGGGAACGGAGACAAAGGAAGAGGGCTTGGGCGGCCGACTAGACAAGGGACCGGTCATGGAGGCGAGCTCGGACGGCGCCGGACGCTGGCGCAGGGAGTGCGGGCACTACGTCGAGTGGCGGACTCGACGAGCGGGCCGGACAGCGACCCTGGACGACGATGTCCCCATGACGCGGTGTGGACGACCACCGCTGGGACTCGGAGAAGCTGCTGTGGCAGCGGACTTCCCCCCGGCCTCGCTGATGACCGTCCCCCGATCCCGAAACCCCCCAAGGCAATGAGTGAGTGAATAGACCCTTTTGCCGAGAGCGAAGCATTGAAGTGTCATATTCATCCGGAGACAGGGTCTGAGGGAATCGGAGCTAGAAGAAGCCTGCACAGTATTGAAAGAAGCGCGTAATCGCGTAACCACATAAATTTCAAACTTACCTAGACGAAAACAAAATATATATATAAGCCGAAGACACCGTGTTTTTCGGCATTAGAGTCATGCAAAACCTATAGTCGGGATGGCACGTTATGTTGCACTTTGTCTTCCGAGCTCAGGAATTCTCGCGAATAAGCACTCAGGTATGCGCATAACGTGGTGTACATTTACCGTTTTCCGGCTGTAACAGGAGGGCTGACACATATAAAAATATTTCCAAGAATTACTAGTTGCGAGTCAGTGCTACCTTCATTCGCTTCTTTTTCAATTGCTCTATACGCCTTTTATTGTGCTGCTCATTTTTGTTTCCCTAGAGGCATGAACACTTGCCAAAAAAGATTTTAACCGACTCGTACTCCGCTTCCTATGAAGTTCCACCATAGCCAACACCACGATCCGATAAACTCAGTCTAGCAACGTCTAAAGTGCATCGTCACGGCGTTCCTTGTCCCACGCTAAGCAAATCCCACGCTGAAAGAAAAAGCGCGGTATCGCTGTGTATTCAAAGTGCTTAATTGGATTAGTGTGGAAAAGCAAACGCACAAAGATACAAGGAGCGCAAGTTCGTCTGCTTCCTTTGAAGGTTTGAAGGGGTTGTCTGGTGATGCCAGAAAGCCGAGCCCTGATATGCTCTGACTGGAAGGGTAGTAAAAAGCCCTCAAGGCAGCTTGCTTCGAGTTCTACTTACCGTCCTTCCAATCAGAGCCAATCAGAGCTCGGCGTTCTGACGTCACCACACGACCCCTGCAGAAAAAGCAGACAAACTTGCTCTCCAAGCACCGTGAGAATGCAATTGTGGAGGTGCTTGATTTGTCTAAATGGATCTTAGCGTCGTTGGTTGTGGTCGGACCTAAAAACTAGGGAAGAGGAAGACACGAGACGGACTTCAGAACGCCGAGCTCTGGTTGGGATGATTAGTGGGTAGGCCTCAAGCTAACGCTACCTTTCTCTCCACTCTACTCGCCGAACGCGTTCGAATGCGAGAGGCAAACGCTGGACGCCCCCGTTCCGAGTTATCACTCGCTGCGGTGGAGGCGAAGGCAGCTAGTTTTTGGTCTACCCACGAATCATTCCAACAAGAGCTCGGCGTTCTGCTGACCTCTCCGCCCGCTCTTGTCTCCTTTTCTCCCTCAGTTTTTCGGAGCATAGTAAATATTAAAAAAAAAACAAAAAAAAAAAAACGAGAACCGTCATTGAAAAAAAATAAAAAAATTAGGTGGGTCTCTAGACAATCGGTCTTCGCAATCAATCGTACCTTCTCCAGTAGTTCGGGCAAATTTCCGCTGATAATGTTTGGTGGTGGTCCAGGAATTCCAAGAGTCTCGAAGAGCGAGAACTTTCGTTTCCGCCACCTGAGTTTGATAAAAAAACAAAAACAAAATATTCATAATGAAACAGCAATAACAACAACAACAATGTGGTAAGGTCATGCTACCTTCCGCAATAGAAACAACCGTCACCCTTAAGAGTGTGCAGAAGGTGTACATCCATATAGCGTTCTCCGTTGAGTCCACGGGTGCGCATTCTGTGAGCACCGAATATCTACTGCATCCTCTATTGAGACGTACGCCACCATGGAAGCCGCACTAACCTATTTCTATTTGCGGCGGGCACGGCACCCGTGTGGGCATGTGAGGTGCACGGCGGCACACCCAAATAATCGACGGGTTAGCTTACTGTTCCATAAGGCGGCTCCCAATAGGAAAAATGGTTTGGTTTCTGTTATCGGTGCCTGGGCGTCTTCGTGAAAAAAAACCTTGCCGTGTGGGTTTTCCAGCGCAGAGAGTTATTATGATGTACGCTAGGGGTTCAACTGTGGCTAGTGTCTACGGAATTTCCGTGATGCAAACTGAAGCAGACAGCAACCATTCTGATGCTCCTGTGCATTCTTATAGAAAAACAAGAGTGAATTTTGTCTCTTCGGCGGAGACTAATGTGAACCCCTCTTTTTAGTGCGTCGTACCGAATAGTTTGTAGCTTTATAATCTTTGTAAAAGTGTAATTGGTTGAATTACTGTGTGTTTATTTATCAGAGAA